GGCTTCACATTTCATTTCCGCCGACTACAGTGAAAGTGGGTGTGAAGGACGATTCACCATAACGGGTGGAATGCCAGTTGACCCCGACCACCTTACGAGACAACACAATCACCAATCACCAAGCAGAAGTCGTCATACGGGTTTCTCATGCCCCTGCCACTCATGGAATGCTGAACTCCAGGAGGCTAGCCCTAAGCTTCTGGCTTCCTACCGTTGGCTGACAGATATTCCCTTTTAGATATAGATAGGGTAACCCACAATGCCTTGGGGACTGTCTCTCCCTCTCTCTCATTCTTCCTCCTTTCTTCCCTACCACTCTCCCTCCCTCCCTCCCTCCCACTATCCCGTTCTATCTCACTTTATCCACCTCATTCTAGCTCCCAGTGGATAAAACTATGCCCGAGTAACATTGAATCAATGTTGAATTAACATTCTCAATGTTGAAGCAACATTGATTTAACGTCGATATCGTTCTTTTGTCCACAACAGCCGTAAAATACGTTGGTAGCCACTCTACGGACAATGAAGCACACATTTCAGACTTTATAGGATTCGTTGGCTGGCGCAACAGGATCCACTCCTACTTAAGAGTGGGTATGGGGTTCGACCCCCACCACCCTCACCATACATTCACAACTCACAATGGAATGTTCCGTTATGCTATCTCAAGGTGTCTGCCTTCCAACCAAAGACCGACAAACATTCTCTCTTGTATTTTCATTAATTAAACTTCATTTTAATTAACTTAAATTTTAATTAAAATTAAACTTAATTTTAATTATAAATTTAATTAAAATGAATTAATTTTAATTTTAATTTTAATTAAAATAAAATAAAAAAAACAGGAATTTTATAAATACTTGGAGAATGTCTAATTAGAGAGTTTTTACTGATAAGATTCCTAATTGCTATACTATTGTTTTTGTAATTTGGAAAATTTACTGACGTTTTAAAATGGCAGAATTATTGTATTCTTTTTCTCCAAAGCAAAGATGGAATTACAAGCAGTCTGACTACATTTTTCAATATATATTATATATATGTATATATATATATATATATATATATATATATATATATATATATATATATATATATATATATATATATATATATATATAAGCCTATACTTGCATAAACCACAAGTGAAGATTAACAATCTTTGGACAACACCCACCAGGGGGCCTCGAACCCAGAAAGCACAACTACCTTCCAGTAGCTGCCATAACTAGTACGCCTTAACCCACTACACCACTCAGACCCTTAAAAGAAGTAGAGACTTCGAGGCATATATACACCTCAAATATCCCCACTTCCTAAGAGCACTAGAATAGTGAGGGGTTACTATACGTTTTTCATCAAGCCACTGTTAATCTGGGAGAAGTCTGAGTGGTGTAGTGGGTTAAGGCGTACTAGTTATGGCAGCTACTGGAAGGTAGTTGTGCTTTCTGGGTTCGAGGCCCCCTGGTGGGTGTTGTCCAAAGATTGTTAATGTATATATATATATATATATATATATATATATATATATATATATATATATATATATATATATATAACTGAAAACTCCCACCCCAGAAGTGACTCGAACCCATACTCCCAGAAGCAATGCAACTGGTATGTACAAGACGCCTTAATCCACTTGACCATCACGACCGGACATAATGAGGTGATAGCCGAGGCTATTTGAACCACCCCACCGCCGGCACTCGGATAGTAATCTTGGGCATAGCATTTTACCAAATCACCTCATTCTTTGGGGCACACGTGAGGAACACAAATGCGAACAAGCCTGAATGGTCCCCAGGACAATATGCAACTGAAAACTCACACCCCAGAAGTGACTCGAACCCATACTCCCAGAAGCAACGCAACTGGTATGTACAAGACGCCTTAATCCACTTGACCATCACGACCGGACATAATGAGGTGATAGCCGAGGCTATTTGAACCACCCCACCGCCGGCACTCGGATAGTAATCTTGGGCATAGCATTTTACCAAATCACCTCATTCTTTGGGGCACACGTGAGGAACACAAATGCGAACAAGCCTGAATGGTCCCCAGGACAATATGCAACTGAAAACTCACACCCCAGAAGTGACTCGAACCCATACTCCCAGAAGCAACGCAACTGGTATGTACAAGACGCCTTAATCCACTTGACCATCACGACCGGACATAATGAGGTGATAGCCAGTTGCATATTGTCCTGGGGACCATTCAGGCTTGTTCGCATTTGTGTTCCTCACGTGTGCCCCAAAGAATGAGGTGATTTGGTAAAATGCTATGCCCAAGATTACTATCCGAGTGCCGGCGGTGGGGTGGTTCAAATAGCCTCGGCTATCACCTCATTATGTCCGGTCGTGATGGTCAAGTGGATTAAGGCGTCTTGTACATACCAGTTGCGTTGCTTCTGGGAGTATGGGTTCGAGTCACTTCTGGGGTGTGAGTTTTCAGTTGCATATTGTCCTGGGGACCATTCAGGCTTGTTCGCATTTGTGTTCCTCACGTGTGCCCCAAAGAATGAGGTGATTTGGTAAAATGCTATGCCCAAGATTACTATCCGAGTGCCGGCGGTGGGGTAGTTCAAATAGCCTCGGCTATCACCTCATTATGTCCGGTCGTGATGGTCAAGTGGATTAAGGCGTCTTGTACATACCAGTTGCGTTGCTTCTGGGAGTATGGGTTCGAGTCACTTCTGGGGTGTGAGTTTTCAGTTGCATATTGTCCTGGGGACCATTCAGGCTTGTTCGCATTTGTGTTCCTCACGTGTGCCCCAAAGAATGAGGTGATTTGGTAAAATGCTATGCCCAAGATTACTATCCGAGTGCCGGCGGTGGGGTGGTTCAAATAGCCTCGGCTATCACCTCATTATGTCCGGTCGTGATGGTCAAGTGGATTAAGGCGTCTTGTACATACCAGTTGCGTTGCTCCTGGGAGTATGGGTTCGAGTCACTTCTGGGGTGTGAGTTTTCAGTTGCATATTGTCCTGGGGACCATTCAGGCTTGTTCGCATATATATATATATATATATATATATATATATATATATATATATATATATATATATATATATATATATATATATATATAACTGAAAACTCACACCCCAGAAGTGATTCGAACCCATACTGCCAGGAGCACTCTGCTGGCGTACAGGATCCCTTAACCGCTCGACCAACACGACCAGACAAAAGAGGATGGTATCCAAGGCCATTTCCACCCCCCCCCCCCCCTCGCCGGCACTTGGTTGGTAAACTTGGGCATGGTATTTTTTCAAATTACCTCATTCTTTGGGGCACATGTGAGGAACACAAATGCGAACAAGCCTGAATGATCCCCAGGACTATATGCAACTGAAAACTCACACCCCAGAAGTGACTCGAACCCATATCCTCACGTGTACCCCAAAGAATGAGGTGATTTGATAAAATAGCATGCCCAAGATTACCAACCGAGTGCCGGCGGGGGAATGAAAATAGACTCCCCTACCATCCTCTTTTGTCCGGTCGTGTTGGTCGAGCGGATAAGGGATCCTAGCTGTACGTCAGCAGAGTGCTCCTAGCAGTATGGGTTCGAGTCACTTCTGGGGTGTGAGTTTTCAGTTGCATATAGTCCTGGGGACCATTCAGGCTTCAGGCTCGTTCGCAAATATATATATATATATATATATATATATATATATATATATATATATATATATATGTCGTACCTAGTAGCCAGAACGCACTTCTCAGCCTACTATGCAAGGCCCGATTTGCCTAATAAGCCAAGTTTTCATGAATTAATTGTTTTTTGACTACCTAACCTACCTAACCTAACCTAACCTAACTTTTTCGGCTACCTAACCCAACCTAACCTATAAAGATAGGTTAGGTTAGGTTAGGTAGGGTTGGTTAGGTTCGGTCATATATCTACGTTAATTTTAACTCCATTAAAAAAAATTTACCTCATACATAATGAAATGGGTAGCTTTATCATTTCATAAGAAAAAAATTAGAGAAAATATATTAATTCAGGAAAACTTGGCTTATTAGGCAAATCGGGCCTTGCATAGTAGGCTGGGAAGTGCGTTCTGGCTACTAGGTACGACATATATATATATATATATATATATATATATATATATATATATATACTTGAAATGATTTTCAAATTTAGATACTAAATCATCTAAAAAAAGGAAATTATTGCTTTGTTCAACTTTGACACCGAGCACAATGGACAGTGAGTCTCTATTGGGTCTGTATTAAACTTCTAACCCTCTAACGAGCGGATCTAAACACCAGCATCATAATTAGACACTCAAAAATAAACATGACATAAAAATAATGAATTCTCGGATTAGCAAGAGAAGTAAATATTCAATATTTTCACGAGCCTCACAAAAAATATATAGTGACAGGGTCATATTAATGGTATTCTGAAACCCTCACTAAACTGTTCTTACTTGTGGGAAGAAGACTTTAGATAGTCTATCATCCAAGCAGCATCCATCAAGCGCAAGATGCTGCCTCACACTGAGTCAAGCGAGTCATCTTATTGCTTGTGATGATAAACCTGACGTTGTTATGGGCGTCGATCACTATGTGGATGTGTGGTATATCGACCATACTAAGCCAGAACGTATCTATGAAGTTCTGTTTCCAGCCTCCCCAGCCACACATCCAGGCAAAACAAATAATCTAATTTGTAATTCTTTGTAACAATTTTTCAAATTGTAATTTGAAAATCTTTTACATTCTTCATAATTCAACTACTCAATATCTTTTCATCAAGGTATATACATTGAAGAGAGTACCAAGCAAATCTCATTTTGTGCATTATTTATACACAGTCTACTTGTGATAGATTTTCAGAATTTGTATTCTATTGAAGCCTTAGTCTGGGGCCAGCATCTCCTGGGGCGTGAGTGATCAATGAGAGCAATGTGTTCGCCTCCCGCAGTGTGATCAATTAGGATCAACGGACTCACTCTAGCTTACACGTATTCCATCATGGCGTTCACAAGACTTGGTGAAAGACGCTATGAAACATACAAAATGGCGTCCGCGTTAGCAACAATGTACCAACACTTCCCTCATTATAATAACAAACGAACTAAAACATCTGAAGCTCGACTGTCAGTCATATGCTTTTCCAGTTGATGCAATTATATTGTCATTGCCAGTCAGGATAACTATGACTTTTTGCATGAGGGAATAATATGACATATTGTTCCCGACGAGGCTAGAGAGAGAGAGATTAGTGGTGGGTCAGGCCAGAGTGTCTGGGCTCCTGGGAGCACATGGAGGAGGGACGCCTAGTGCTGTGCTCCCAGATGATGCTACTTCTCCCACAGTAATTGGTAAGTGAATACGGAACCCCCATGGTGTGTGTAATTATGTATTATCCCTACTTGTGTCTCCTGTTCTTGCTCTCTCTCTACCCCTCTCTCTCTCTACCCCTCTCTCTCTCTCTACCTCTCTCTCTCTCTACCTCTCTCTCTATCTCGCCTATTGATCCCCATGTTTCTAACACACTGGACTAGAAGAGGGAGGAGGAGGGAGGGTAGCACAGACACAGGAGGTCAGGGAACGCGGAGAATCAACAACAGAGGCGAGGAACGGAATACTGGCATGTCTCACCAGAGATCTTGAAGACATGAATCAAACAAGAGTCTTCAGAGGGAACTGAGATGAGCACAGGTAAAACGCCTCAAGGAAACCTTCATTCCGACCCAGTACGAGACAGCTGACCCACAGGAAACAGGAAAACAAGCCTCTGAAGCCTCCTACAAGGATACTTTAATTAGGATAAATGTTTCAGTTGAACCCCGAAGCCTGCATTGAAGCCTCAGCTATGAAAGAAGCTACTTCGCAGCTACAGAGTTCCTTACCTTGAGGTGCTTCCGGGGCTTAGCGTCCCTGCGGCCCGGTCGTCGACCAGGGCTCCTGATAGACTACACTAGCTACCTGGTGGAGAGGAAAGAGAGGTGTAGCAGAGGTAGGAGACAAGGAGCAGGAAGGTTCCAGTCAGGAGAATTGTAGAAGGAATGATCACTCTGTTGTGACAGATCCTGACAGGTATAGAGATGGGGAGGGGCTGAAAACAGCATTCCTTGAGGGTCACCTTGAGATGATTTCAGGGCTTAGCGTCCCCGAGGCCCGGTCCTCGACCAGGCCTCCTCGATAAAGAAGGTTTTCAGACTAGGAGGTTGTAAAAAGGGCAAAACATCGATTAATAAATTTACAAAGCAACAAAGAGAAGCATTATTAACAGAATACAAATGTGTGTTGGTGCAGTTGAACAGGTTATCTTGAGGTTATCTTGAGGTTATCTTGAGGTTATCTTCAGGTTATCTTCAGGTTATCTTCAGGTTATCTTGAGGTTATCTTGAGGTTATCTTGAGGTTATCTTGAGGTTATCTTGAGGTTATCTTGAGATGATTTCGGGGCTTTAGTGTCTCCACGGCCCGGTCCTCGACCAGGCCTTCACCCCAAGGAAGCAGCCCGTGACAGCTGACTAACACCCAAGTACCTATTTTACTACTAGGTAACAGGGGCATAGGGTGAAAGAAACTCTGCCCATTGTTTCTCGCCGGCGCCCGGGATCGAACCCTGACCACAGGATCACAAGTCCAGCGCGCTGTCCGCTCGGCTCCCTATCTTTTCAGATAGGGAAAGTTATCTCCGAGAGTTTATCTCCCTATCTCCTAACATAACGAGAGTCAAGGCAGGAGTGGCTAGGATGAGGAGTTTGTTGAGGGGATGGAAATTGGGGGAACTACTGCCCTCAGTCCCCCCAGAGCCCTCAGTCCCCCCAGAGCCCTCAGTCACCCCAGAGCCCTCAGTCCCCCCAGAGCCCTCAGTCACCCCAGAGCCCTCAGTCCCCCCAGAGCCCTCAGTCACCCCAGAGCCCTCAGTCACCCCAGAGCCCTCAGTCCCCCAGAGCCCTCAGTCCCCCCAGAGCCCTCAGTCCCCCCAGAGCCCTAAGTCCCCCCAGAGCCCTCAGTCCCCCCAGAGCCCTCAGTCCCCCCAGAGCCCTCAGTCACCCCAGAGCCCTCAGTCACCCCACAGCCCTCAGTCCCCCCAGAGCCCTCAGTCACCCCAGAGCCCTCAGTCCCCCCAGAGCTCTCAGTCACCCCAGAGCCCTCAGTCACCCCAGAGCCCTCAGTCCCCCAGAGCCCTCAGTCCCCCCAGAGCCCTCAGTCCCCCCAGAGCCCTAAGTCCCCCCAGAGCCCTCAGTCCCCCCAGAGCCCTCAGTCCCCCCAGAGCTCTCAGTCACCCCAGAGCCCTCAGTCACCCCAGAGCCCTCAGTCACCCCAGAGCCCTCAGTCCCCCCAGAGCCCTCAGTCCCACCAGAGCCCTCAGTCCCCCCAGAGCCCTCAGTCCCCCAGAGCCCTCAGTCACCCCAGAGCCCTCAGTCACCCCAGAGCCCTCAGTCCCCCCAGAGCCCTCAGTCCCCCCAGAGCCCTCAGTCCCCCCAGAGCCCTCAGTCCCCCAGAGCCCTCAGTCACCCCAGAGCCCTCAGTCACCCCAGAGCCCTCAGTCACCCCAGAGCCCTCAGTCCCCCCAGAGCCCTCAGTCCCCCAGAGCCCTCAGTCCCCCAGAGCCCTCAGTCACCCCAGAGCCCTCAGTCACCCCAGAGCCCTCAGTCACCCCAGAGCCCTCAGTCACCCCAGAGCCCTCAGTCACCCCAGAGCCCTCAGTCCCCCCAGAGCCCTCAGTCCCCCAGAGCCCTCAGTCACCCCAGAGCCCTTAGTCACCCCAGAGCCCTCAGTCCCCCCAGAGCCCTCAGTCCCCCAGAGCCCTCAGTCACCCCAGAGCCCTCAGTCCCCCCAGAGCCCTCAGTCACCCCAGAGCCCTCAGTCCCCCCAGAGCCCTCAGTCACCCCAGAGCCCTCAGTCCCCCAGAGCCCTCAGTCACCCCAGAGCCCTCAGTCCCCCCAGAGCCCTCAGTCACCCCAGAGCCCTCAGTCCCCCCAGAGCCCTCAGTCACCCCAGAGCCCTCAGTCACCCCAGAGCCCTCAGTCACCCCAGAGCCCTCAGTCCCCCCAGAGCCCTCAGTCACCCCAGAGCCCTCAGTCCCCCCAGAGCCCTCAGTCACCCCAGAGCCCTCAGTCCCCTCAGAGCCCTCAGTCCCCCCAGAGCCCTAAGTCACCCCAGAGCCCTCAGTCACCCCAGAGCCCTCAGTCACCCCAGAGCCCTCAGTCACCCCAGAGCCCTCAGTCACCCCAGAGCCCTCAGTCACCCCAGAGCCCTCAGTCACCCCAGAGCCCTCAGTCACCCCAGAGCCCTCAGTCACCCCAGAGCCCTCAGTCACCCCAGAGCCCTCAGTCACCCCAGAGCCCTCAGTCACCCCAGAGCCCTCAGTCACCCCAGAGCCCTCAGTCACCCCAGAGCCCTCAGTCACCCCAGAGCCCTCAGTCACCCCAGAGCCCTCAGTCACCCCAGAGCCCTCAGTCCCCCCAGAGCCCTCAGTCACCCCAGAGCCCTCAGTCACCCCAGAGCCCTCAGTCACCCCAGAGCCCTCAGTCACCCCAGAGCCCTCAGTCACCCCAGAGCCCTCAGTCACCCCAGAGCCCTCAGTCACCCCAGAGCCCTCAGTCACCCCAGAGCCCTCAGTCACCCCAGAGCCCTCAGTCCCCCCAGAGCCCTCAGTCCCCCCAGAGCCCTCAGTCACCCCAGAGCCCTCAGTCACCCCAGAGCCCTCAGTCACCCCAGAGCCCTCAGTCACCCCAGAGCCCTCAGTCCCCCCAGAGCCCTCAGTCACCCCAGAGGCCCTCAGTCACCCCAGAGCCCTCAGTCACCCCAGAGCCCTCAGTCACCCCAGAGCCCTCAGTCACCCCAGAGCCCTCAGTCACCCCAGAGCCCTCAGTCACCCCAGAGCCCTCAGTCACCCCAGCGCCCTCAGTCACCCCAGAGCCCTCAGTCACCCCAGAGCCCTCAGTCACCCCAGAGCCCTCAGTCACCCCAGAGCCCTCAGTCACCCCAGAGCCCTCAGTCCCCCAGAGCCCTCAGTCACCCCAGAGCCCTCAGTCACCCCAGAGCCCTCAGTCACCCCAGAGCCCTCAGTCACCCCAGAGCCCTCAGTCACCCCAGAGCCCTCAGTCACCCCAGAGCCCTCAGTCACCCCAGAGCCCTCAGTCACCCCAGAGCCCTCAGTCACCCCAGAGCCCTCAGTCACCCCAGAGCCCTCAGTCACCCCAGAGCCCTCAGTCACCCCAGAGCCCTCAGTCACCCCAGAGCCCTCAGTCACCCCAGAGCCCTCAGTCACCCCAGAGCCCTCAGTCACCCCAGAGCCCTCAGTCACCCCAGAGCCCTCAGTCACCCCAGAGCCCTCAGTCACCCCAGAGCCCTCAGTCACCCCAGAGCCCTCAGTCACCCCAGAGCCCTCAGTCACCCCAGAGCCCTCAGTCACCCCAGAGCCCTCAGTCACCCCAGAGCCCAGTCAGTCAGTCCCCCAGAGCCCTCAGTCACCCCAGAGCCCTCAGTCACCCCAGAGCCCTCAGTCACCCCAGAGCCCTCAGTCACCCCAGAGCCCTCAGTCACCCCAGAGCCCTCAGTCACCCCAGAGCCCTCAGTCACCCCAGAGCCCTCAGTCCCCCCAGAGCCCTCAGTCCCCCAGAGCCCTCAGTCACCCCCCTCAGAGCCCTCAGTCACCCCAGAGCCCTCAGTCACCCCAGAGCCCTCAGTCACCCCAGAGCCCTCAGTCACCCCAGAGCCCTCAGTCACCCCAGAGCCCTCAGTCACCCCAGAGCCCTCAGTCACCCCAGAGCCCTCAGTCACCCCAGAGCCCTCAGTCACCCCAGAGCCCTCAGTCACCCCAGAGCCCTCAGTCACCCCAGAGCCCTCAGTCCCCCCAGAGCCCTCAGTCACCCCAGAGCCCTCAGTCACCCCAGAGCCCTCAGTCACCCCAGAGCCCTCAGTCACCCCAGAGCCCTCAGTCACCCCAGAGCCCTCAGTCACCCCAGAGCCCTCAGTCACCCCAGAGCCCTCAGTCACCCCAGAGCCCTCAGTCCCCAGAGCCCTCAGTCACCCCAGAGCCCTCAGTCACCCCAGAGCCCTCAGTCACCCCAGAGCCCTCAGTCACCCCAGAGCCCTCAGTCACCCCAGAGCCCTCAGTCACCCCAGAGCCCTCA